TGGCTTTTTTTATTCCTGCCTCAGTTCCTGTGAGCCTCGTTAAACCCACCTAAATTCACCTCTGCCTACCTGCCTCTGCTTTTGGGTCCTCAATCCAACACCAAATCATGACATCACCCTCTGACCACGTCTCATTTAGTAAATGTTTATTGATAAACCTGAGTCACTATGGAATCCAAACTGATTGATTTAAAAAATGATACAAATAAACAAAAATAATTTGACTGCAGATCTGCGTTAGACCTTCCCTCTGAATCTTCATCCATATGAACAGAACCAAATAAAAATAAAGGGACTTAATTAAACAATTTTATCAAAGATTTCTTCTGCTCTGTTTAAGTTTGTTTGTTTATCTACCAGAGAAAAGGAGCCAGCTGAATCTTTCCTGATGTTTTTCCTAATGTCCGGCCCTGGCCTCCTCGTCCTTTAGGAGGCAGATTTACTTCATAAAGTCACCAGAAAGCAGGAAAATGAGCTTCTGAACCTTCTGAGGGGAAATTCCCACATAGTCTGGTTAAATTCCATTAATGATTAATGCTGGCATGTCCAGAAGCTGCCAGGAGCACGGCTCCAGATAGAAATAAAAATAACTAAAATTCCATCAACTCAAAAATTCAATTAGTGAAAGCTGAAGGATTTGCTGCATTTTTAAAGAAAATGCACAAACAGGGACCCCGTCTCCACCTTCCAGCCGTTAGCGCTCAGCGGCTTTGAGTTGAAGGTGATGTGGAGATTCCTCCAAAATAAAAGCATGTGACCAACGTCTGTACCTGCGGACGGTGAGATCCAGAGTCATGAAGGAGCCTTTGATCAGAGCGATGGCCTCCTGTCGGTATCCGCTCAGCTCCACCTCATTAATGATGATGATCTCATCCCCGACCAACAGAGGCTGCTCCAGGCTGTCCGCCTTACCGCCTTCCTCTACCTGGAAACACATCACAGATTTACTACAGACTGTCCCCGATGAAGATGAGGCTGAGAGAAACGTTTCTCCTTCCTTTACTCATAAACAGATCTCTGTTGAAAGGCTGTTGCTCATTAAACCGACAGAACCAGATTCTACAGACGCGTTCTGAGGTGGATTTAGATTAACTGTCTGCAACGTCTCAAATATAAATCACTCTGTGTATTTAATCCATTTAGGAAATCAGGGGCCCCTAGGCAAAGACAGGCTGGGGGCCCTCTGAACTGAGAA